GCGTTGCTCTCCGTTGAGTTTTGATACTGACAAGATCCGCTGTTGATTTTGATTTTCTTTTTCAATTGTCCTGATGCAGTTTTGAATTTCCTTTTCTTTGTGAAAAGCAGCAACTAAGGATTAACCACTGCTACTGGTTCAAACATGGCGTCCAGATCGTTTAAGCCGAGCCGCTCGGATATGTCATCAAACTCTGATATGCCTGATTCCAACAACAAGACTCCAATCCCTCCAACTGTGACATTTGGCCGCAGAACTTCCTCGGGTCGCTACGTCAGCTACTCCAGGGATGATCTCGACAGTGAACTTGGGAGCGGTGACTATATGAACTATACAGTGCACATACCACCAACCCCGGATAACCAACCCATGGATCCATCCATCTCACAGAAGGTTGAAGAGCAATATGTGTCCAATTCCCTTTTTACGGGCGGATTTAATAGTGTTACGCGAGCTCATCTTATGGACAAGGTGATCGAATCTGAAACAAACCATCCTCAGATGGCTGGTGCTAAAGGTTCATCATGTGCAATTCCTGGCTGTGATGCAAAGGTGATGAGCGATGGACGCGGGGAGGATATTCTTCCTTGTGAGTGTGATTACAAAATATGCCGGGATTGCTATACAGATGCTGTGAAAACTGGGGGTGGTATTTGCCCTGGATGCAAGGAACCGTACAAAATCACAGATTTGGATGATGTGGCTGCGGATAACGATGCACGGCCACCGCTCCCACTTCCTCTGCCAAAAGTATTGTCTAAAAATGAGAGGAGGTTGTCACTGATGAAGTCTACAAAGTCAGTGCTAATGAGGAGTCAAACTGGGGATTTTGATCACAACCGGTGGCTCTTTGAAACAAAGGGAACTTATGGGTATGGGAATGCCATATGGCCCAAGGAGGGAGGTTTTGGGGATGAGAAAGAAGATGAAGTCGTTGATAGAACAGAGTTGTTGAACAAACCATGGCGGCCACTCACGCGGAAAATAAAAATACCTGCAGCTATTATAAGCCCGTATAGGTACATATCTTACCTTATGCTTGTCCAGTCTTTACCTCCTTAGCTTAAGATATACTAGGTTATGATGGCAATCTCATATGCAAAACTTTAAACTTCAACGCATCACCATGCCACTTCTGACTTTCGTTGAGATGCATTTCTACATTAAGTGATAAGAAGATTCATAGAGTACACATATGTAGTCCCATGACTGTAAGTGTAAGGTAGTGATCACATGTGATCAAGGGTTAATTTTTTAGATTGGAGAATGCTTTCGACCTATGTGTCACCGCACCAAAATTTAATTGTCTAACGAGCAACATGTTGGTGTAGTTCTGCTGATAGATAGATAGCTCCATGACCAGTTATTTTGCATGGAAGTTGCTTTAATTTTTTTCATGGCCTATTGTTTGGATTACAAATATGCTGTGATACTGACTTCTGACGAGTACTGGTTACGTAGTATATATTGTGTGTATTCATAAAGTCCATGCTTATGCTATTGTTTATGGTCTTCTAAAATTTACATATGCTCAATAGTTCCAAAATATCCAGACTCATTCGCTGTTTATCTGCCTGGTGAGTGGTGATATTCCTTTTGAGGTCATTCTTTTCATTGCCCTGCAAATAATTGCCTTTTTTCTCTCTGTTACTTACGTGTTCACAGGCTTCTGATTTTTGTTCGTATGGGTGTCCTTGGGCTGTTCTTGGCATGGAGGATCGATAACCCAAATACTGATGCAATGTGGCTCTGGGGAATGTCAATAGTTTGTGAGATATGGTTTGCTTTTTCTTGGCTTCTTGACCAACTGCCGAAGTTCTGCCCAATCAATCGCTCGACAGATCTTAATGTCTTGAAGGAGAAATTTGAAACACCTAGTCCCAACAACCCCTCTGGGAAATCTGATCTTCCAGGCATAGATATCTTTGTGTCCACTGCAGATCCAGACAAAGAACCACCACTTGTCACGGCAAACACTATCTTATCTATTCTAGCTACTGATTACCCTGTTGAAAAGCTAGCTTGCTATGTTTCTGATGATGGAGGTGCCCTTTTAACTTTTGAGGCCATGGCTGAAGCTGCTAGTTTTGCTAATGTATGGGCGCCATTCTGCCGTAAACATGCTATTGAACCCAGGAATCCTGAATCTTACTTCAGTTTGAAGAGGGATCCATACAAGAACAAAGTGCTGCCTGACTTTGTCAAGGACCGAAGAAGGGTAAAACGTGAATATGATGAATTCAAGGTTCGGATCAATGGACTGCCTGAATCTATACGCCGACGATCAGATGCTTATCATGCTCGGGAAGAAATCAAGGCCATGAAGCTTCAAAGAGAGAACAGGGAGGACGAACCAGTGGAGGGTGTGAAGATTCCCAAAGCAACGTGGATGGCTGATGGAACGCACTGGCCAGGGACTTGGTTGACTGCTTCACCTGAGCATTCTAAGGGTGACCATGCTGGTATTATACAGGTATTCCTCTAGTCCTGGTAACCTATATTATTTTGTTCTAACTGCAGATGTGAGATTGTTCTTACATATTTTGTATGTGCACACTATAACAAGTAGGGCAACATGAGGGTTAACATTTATTCGCCATGCAGGTGATGTTGAAACCTCCCAGTGATGAACCGCTGCATGGAGCTGATGATGATGCTAGGCTCATTAACCTCACAGATGTTGATATCCGTCTTCCCATGCTTGTTTATGTGTCACGTGAGAAACGCCCAGGCTATGATCACAACAAGAAGGCAGGGGCCATGAATGCCCTCGTTCGGGCCTCTGCCATCATGTCCAATGGCCCGTTCATTCTCAACCTTGACTGTGACCATTATATTTACAACTCTCAGGCAATGAGGGAGGGCATGTGCTTCATGATGGATCGTGGTGGCGACCGCCTTTGTTATGTCCAGTTCCCTCAGAGATTTGAGGGTATTGACCCTTCAGACCGATATGCCAATCACAACACTGTTTTCTTTGATGTCAATATGCGAGCTCTTGATGGACTTCAGGGCCCAGTTTATGTTGGAACTGGATGTCTCTTTCGTAGAGTTGCCCTTTATGGTTTTGACCCACCTCGGTCAAAAGACACTCACCCTGGTTGTTGCAGTTGCTGCTTCTCTCGTCGCAGAAAGAATACCTCAGTAGCCAACACCTCCGAAGAAAACCGATCCTTAAGAATGGGTGATTCTGATGATGAAGAGATGAATCTCTCCCTGCTGCCTAAGAGGTTTGGGAACTCAACTTTCCTCATTGATTCGATTCCAGTGGCAGAGTTCCAAGGTCGTCCACTAGCAGATCACCCAGCTGTGAAGAATGGACGACCACCTGGTGCTCTCACCATTCCCCGTGAGCTTCTTGATGCCTCTACTGTTGCAGAGGCAATCAGTGTCATTTCGTGCTGGTACGAAGACAAGACTGAGTGGGGAGAGCGCGTAGGGTGGATTTATGGATCAGTTACTGAAGATGTGGTCACTGGGTATAGGATGCATAACAGAGGATGGAAATCAGTTTACTGTGTGACCAAGCGAGATGCATTCCGTGGAAGTGCTCCTATCAATCTTACAGATAGGTTGCATCAGGTTCTGCGCTGGGCTACTGGCTCAGTTGAGATTTTCTTCTCCCGCAACAACGCACTCCTAGCCAGCTCAAGAATGAAGTTTCTGCAAAGGATAGCATACCTCAATGTGGGTATCTACCCCTTTACCTCCATCTTTCTTATCGTCTACTGCTTCCTCCCGGCGCTATCCCTCTTCTCGGGTCAGTTCATTGTGCAGACCCTCAACGTTAGTTTCCTGACTTACCTTTTGGCCATTACTCTCACTCTATGCATGCTTGCCATCCTTGAGATTAAATGGTCTGGCATCGAGCTAGAGGAGTGGTGGAGAAACGAGCAGTTTTGGTTGATTGGAGGGACTAGTGCGCACCTTGCTGCTGTGCTTCAGGGGCTACTGAAAGTTATTGCAGGGATTGAAATCTCTTTCACCTTAACTTCAAAGTCGGGTGGTGATGACGAGGATGATGAGTTTGCTGACCTCTATATTGTGAAATGGTCCTCTCTCATGATACCGCCGATAACAATCATGATGGTCAACTTAATCGGCATAGCAGTTGGGTTCAGCCGCACAATATACAGCGAAATACCAGAATGGAGCAGGTTAATTGGCGGGGTGTTCTTCAGTTTCTGGGTATTAGCGCATCTGTATCCGTTTGCCAAAGGGTTGATGGGGAGACGAGGGAAGACGCCCACCATTGTTTATGTGTGGTCAGGGCTCATTGCGATTACCATCTCTCTTCTTTGGGTGGCAATCAATCCCCCGTCGGGTGCGAGTGGAATTGGGGGATCCTTCACATTCCCGTAGAAAGGGGTTCGTTCGTGTACTGTTAAATCTTGTGTGGAGTTACATTTCTTTATTTGTTTGATACCTGAACAAGTCAATCTTGCTTGTTCCACCATTTGAATTCTGTCTAGCAGACTAGCAGTAACAGTAAGGAAGAATGATGGGGACCAAACCGAGAGATAGGAGGAGGGATATGGATATATGATGTTGTCGTCTTAGTTGCTTTCTTTTTCTGGCATTTTATGGATGCTTTTTAATCAGTGTTTCGCCTTCACTTTCACTTGCTACATTCCTAATTCCTTGGTCATTTCATATGCTCCTCACTAGAAATTATTTTTTATTTTTTTGGTCAAGTTTGGATTTATATGAACCCAACACTTGCATGTTTCTCATAAACTACGAGCTACAAGCCTACAACTTACGATTTTCAGTCGGTTTTGCAAATTTCAATAAAAAGTCAACATAAAATCTATTTTCTTGCAATCATTTTTCTCATAAACTGTGAGTTATAACTTACGATTTTTAGTCGAATTTGCAAATTTCAACAAAAATCCAACATAAAATCTAATTTCTTGCAATAATCGCACCACTGTAGGACATGATTCATGTGTCCAACAGTTGAATTTTGCTCAAAAATTGACTTGTAACGAATTATGCCATTATCGCAATTATAATCATGTCATTAATGAGTTTTTTTTATCCGCAATTTTTTATCCGTTCAGAAAATGTTTACAAGAGAATATCATAAAACCTATTTTTTAGTGTCAAATAATAATGCTAACTCGAAATGACCGAAATGGAGTCCGTTCATGTTGTAAGATGCCATAACATACATTACAAGGACCAAAACTTGCAAATGTCTGCTATGCCTTAACTTTCTTACTGGATCCATCTTTCGATTTCTTTGACTTCCGTTTTTTCGTCGCTGCTGTTTCTTTCAACCGCTCAGAGGTCTTTCGCTCCTCATCTTCAGGTACGTTTATTAACGTCCCATTCTCATCGTCCGCAGCAGAGTGCATCAACGACTTGTCCTGCAATACTATTGTATCTGTCTCTGGTTCAATGACTGACATTCCAGTCAGAGTGTAGTTCACCAAATACGTGTTTGTTTCGTGCCTGTCCATTCTGCTAAAATGCCTCTGAGAATACGAGAGGAGACCTTCAAGGATTTCCCCAATGCCTTTTATCTGACAAAACCAAAAATCACTGTCAAGCCTTGAGCTATCTATAGAGCGCTGTGCTTTTCTTTGTAAGACGCGGGCACAAAGGTATGTATAGCAAAGACAACTACCTCATTAATCTTTGTTGGACTGAGGATGTTGAAAACTTTGAAAAGCACAAAGTGTGCAACATGACAGAGCTTTGGCTTTGTATTCCATTCTCGAACATATTCAAATAGTAGCCTCATCTCTTCCTCGCCGAGGGCAAGAAGGGCTTTCTCCATCTGCTTTTCAGTTTCTCTCTTCCTGCAGACACTTTGAATAGGTTACATTCTCAAAGTTTACAAGACAACCAGCAAATGAAAAAAAATAACATAAAGAGAAGATAAAAGCAAACCTCCAGATTTCAGAAAAGCACTGATAAAGCTTATGAGGCCTGCGAAGCTCAAATGCGACTTGAATTGCTTTAGAAAAGTCAGCATCTAATACAGCATTTTCTAGTTCTTGATTCTTTAAAACACCTTCCTCCTGTATAATCATGAAAATTTCCATTATATCCATCAAGTGAATTTGACATAACTAGATAAAGAAAATACAAATTGATAATCTGGTGCCGTGCGGGTTGCCTAGGAGGAATATTTATCCACATTTAATATCTTAAGACTTCACCTATCAATATAACTATAAATCTTTTGACCAAATCTTTCAATAACCTTACCTGACTTATTAATGAAATTCAGTTAAATATAATATCAATGGGCCTAGAGATGAATCCGTTCAATTTTTAAGATTTTGCATTTGATGAAACCATATTACCTTTATACACCAAAAATAAAAGCAATGTGATAACTCACCTCCCTACGAAAAGCTTCCTCTTTATCGGAAGCAGTACAATCATACCACATATTGACGACAGCATCGCTGCTGCCAGTTGCAAGCATTTCTGTCTTTTTTCCGACAGCCAAGGCATAAACCTGTAGGGTAAATCCTGTCAATGACACGGAAAGCAAAAAACTACTTGGTGGGGAAGAAAGGAAGAAGACCAACATCAAGATATCTCAGCCAACCTATTTAGTTGCTATAATCCAAAGGTCCAATCTACAACTTGACCACTACATGTTGATGATCAGAATTTGACTACTACATGAATCTCACATGTTTTCCCGTGTATTATCCAATCTTGTAGAGAACTTTCAATGAACTGATTAGAACATTCTATAGATGTGACTACAACATGACGGTCATGTGTAAATGATTGACAATGACGAGAATTTCAAATTCCTAACTTCTAAGCTATAACTTTTAACATCTTGTAATATATGAATGTATCTAATGACGTAGCCTATAATATGCATTATAGTGACAAGTAACTTGAGATACATATTTTCTGCACCTTGTCATCATGCTGATCATATGTAGCAATGCATTCATCAGTTTTGACCATCCACAGTTTTACCAACCCATCAGCACCTGAAAATGATAACATAGTCAATGTGTATATCATCAGAGTTTCAAGGGTGTGAGAAGAACCGAAGTGGGAACTAAGCCTCATTACCTGAAGAAATAAATTGGGTTCCACGAGTAAGAAATGATGCTCTTAATACACTTGATGTATGCCCTTCAAATGTTTTCAAGCATGAACCATCAGATATGGACCATATCTTTATTGTTTTATCACCAGAAGCCGTTATAACACATTGATCAACTGGAGAGAACTCTACAGACCAAACTCCCCTTTTATGACCCTTAAGTACAACAACTGGTACAAGATCCGGAAGCCTCCATACACAAGCAGTGCGATCCTGATCAATGAAAACCCAGAAAGTTTAATAAGGTAGTGTCATTCAGCGTATTTAGGATCCTCCTTTCTTCCAAAAAAACATCAACTATAAATAGAAATATGATAAAAATGATAGAACAAAGAAGCAGTGCCTCAAAGCTTACAAACCTGTGAGCCGCTACAAACTAAACTATCATTTGGTGCAACAGCTACTGAATTAATATCCTTATCGTGGGCCGCTACACCGGCCTTTGCTTTCAGATTCACTGGTTTTTCCGCATTGTCTGGAAGACCATCCAAACTCCACACCTTGAGGGTACGATCACTGAAAAAGAAATGATGTAGGTCATTTTAAGCACCTAATAGAGCTCAATAGAAGTATCCTCCTTGAGGTTGCAACCAATAGGGTAATCTTTCAACTATTTAAAGCATCACCAGTAACTCCAATGATAGCTTAGGTTACAATTGTAAACAAACTGTAAGACAGAATGCTGGTAAAAGGATGAGCTGCATAAGTGCTCACCTACTACCACTAACGAAGAAGTCTTTCCGCTTTTTTGAGAAAGCAATAGCTCCAATACCTCCCATATGACCTATGCCAAGACCAAGGCAACATTTGCTTGCTGAATCCCACAACCGAACCTACAGATAATGTAGTAAGAAATGCGAACAAACCACTTATTAACACGGCAATATAGAGAAAGAGAGAGATTCGCAGGGGAGGGGCGAGAATGAAGTGAAGTGTTTTCATACAGCTGTCGTCTCTAATAGAGTTCATGAAATCTATATGACTGCCCTATGAGAAGAACAGAAACTGAAACTTACAGTGTTGTCTTTGCTTCCGGTCACAATAAGTGATTTTCCACAACTTGATACACAGGTGTCAAGGCATAGAACAATTCCGGTATGACCTGCCAATACGTACGAACATGACATGGATGCAATGTCATATACTCGTACCTGCATGTTTCCAGATTAAATAATACATCAATAACCAAATATATAACACATATTTCTTAATCACACATATACTTCAAGCATGCACGCACATGGTAACTTCGCCCAACTTCAAATAGATAGGACCAGGTCACCAGGAAAACAACAAAAATGTACACTTGCGAACAATGTCAACAACAATAATTCCCAAATAAAAGACAACTGGAAATGAACAGATGGATATTCAGCTACAAAACACACTAAAAACAAAGAATGTGATCATCTATATCAGAATATTCATAAAAGAAGATTTAAACGCACCAGCTCTAAATCCTCGTCAGTCAAGCAAGGATTTTTGCGAACATACATGGTGGAAATACATAATGGTATACAGATTGAAAAAGGGCCTCTTATAGAAGATTTTAATGTCAAAACCAATTTTCACCAAAATCTCAGTTCAAAGGTTTTAAGATAACAACGAAGAAACTTACATATTTAGTAGAAACCAATTCTACTTGAAAGCCACCAATATGCACAACTTAAGATAGATATGAATCCAGTACACTTACCTGTTCAAGATTTGTGGCAACAGCAAGAAATTGTTCCTCATCTCCTACAAACTTCATATCCACAATCTCATCGTTGTAACCTACAAGTCTTTTGCTCAATTCAAATTCCAGCGTCCCCTCTGGCAACTTAATTGGGGAATATAAAAGGAACTCCTGATCAGCAGTCACACAAAGCAACCCTTTATCTGAAGGAAGCATGACAGCTGCGGTGAAACCCCTATTTAATTGATCCACATCTGAAGATAGAGTAACATCTGAGGACTTTTGCTCATATAGGCAAACTGCACTGTCAAAATAAATAGAGTACCAGTAAACAAACTCAAAATAAAACAACCATTCATTCAAAAATCAAAATCACAATTATTTAATGCACAAGGAAAATTACTTATAACCAAAATTAATTCAAACGAAATAGTATAAGAACGCTCTTAGGATTTACCCTTCAGAATTCCAAATCCGTACAATCCCATGGTCACCAACTGTTATAAAGCAAATTTCAGGTAATCCACTTTTCTTCCCACAAGGCTTCTTGCAGGAACCCAAATAGGTTGATAATGGAGTTCCAGAATGGATTGCACACACAGCTTCAAGAACCTCATATGTTGTTACAGTCTTCATGCAGCTATAGTCATGAAGGTCCCACAAGATTACAACCTAAAACCATTCAGCAATCAATATCCTGTTAACATATCAACAGCATTGGAAAGTACACAGAAGGACAAATAATGCTCAGTGAGCTTTCCAGTGAGACAGAGTAAGTAGGCATTTGAGAAAATATGTTGACAAAAAAAAATTCAGGAGCGCATAACAAAAAAATAATTAGACAAAAGCATATTCTTATGTCAATACTCAATATAGAAAATCTGGTTAAGGTTGGCCACTGAAACCCTTCACTATCCATGATCTACTCATTCATGACCCAAATCAACCCCAGTCACAATATTTAATTGGCGCACACTCAGATCAAACTTAGCCACCACTATTACAAAGACTAAGGCTCAGAACAAACAAAGAGAATACTAGGTGGTACTGAATGAAAAAATAAAAGCGTAAACTGAGGCACACAGATGCATGCGCATGTAACAGAAAATTAGCACTGAAGTATTGGGTGAACCCAAGATTAGTTCAGGCCTTACCTTATCTCTTCCAGCTGTGAGCAAAGTCCATCCGTCTTCAGACAGTGCCATAGAAGTTACTGTTGAGTTATGCGCATTAAGTGTCGCAACGCACTTCTTGGTTAATAGGTCCCAAACATGCACATTTGTATCATCGCTTGCGGAGAAAAGCTAGTAAAATAGGGATCAGCATGATGAGTCGTTACAAATGCACAAAAGAAGTAGTTTCAACCCACTTCATCTGGAAACATAAAGTTGGAAACAACAGGTCAGATCTATGTGGACATTGAGCTTACAAGTTGTTGAGTAGGATCAGGATGGAAGAGAACACTAGAAACGACCCCTTTGTGGCCCTTAAAGTAATGAGTGCAAAAGCTGCCATCAACATCCCAAACAAGAACCTTCCTATCAGCTCCGGCAGTCGCAAGCAATCCACCAGACGGGTGACAAGACATTCCCATAACTGGCCCCTCATGACCCTAATCCGAAACCAAAAATGCCGTACTCAATAATTTTTCATTTTAGTAATAGTAACTAATTAATCACCAGCCAAAGAGAAGCATTTGATTTGATTTGAATTGATTAGGAAATTACCTTCCAAGAACGCACGCACTTCAAGGTGGAGAGGTCCCAAATCCTAATTTGGCGACTGTGACCGGCGGAGAAGAGCAGCCTGTTGTCGGGGCTGAGGGCCAACGCGGTAACTTCATCTGAGTCACCTTCAATGGTAGACCGAATCGAGGCGTTCGATGAATCCACGATCTTAATGGATTCACCGCACTTGCAGGCGATGAATGAGCCGTCGGATGAGACGGCGAAGGGACCGCCGGAGTAGAACTGCTGCAGAGATGGCACGCACCGGTAGTTCTTCTTCAGAGGTAGAGACGCCATGAGAGAATAGGTGGAGCTCCGCTCTCAACGGTTGCAGAGAAAGAGAGAGTGAGTCTAAAACCGCTAAATGTGACGGAGCTCAAATAGGGTTTAAGGATGCCGAATGGGGTTTAAAGAAAAAGAAAAGAAAGACGGAGGATAGAGGGGCGAGAGAGAGGCAGCCCAAAATATGGGCCAAGGAGGTGATGGGCTTCACTTGGACTGGAGAGTTATTTTAATCCATTTTTGGTGGGCTTTTCGATGATAAAACTAGTGAGAACCATTAAATAGTTTCTCATCCAAAACCTTTCTTATCGAAAAACACTCGGATAAAATTTTGTATCAACATTGTTTTTACTTTGAGACAAAGAACAAAAAAAGGAGTCACTCATGAAATTTTGATTAAATAAAAATGTCCTTAATAATAATAAAAAGTGCCCTTAATGATAAAAACAAGTTTTGCGAGGTGCTTTTTTTTTTTTATTGCAAATATTATTAGACAGTAGTGCTCCGTTGATTCTCATGTTAAATAATATGGTTATAGAGGATATAAAGACTCATTTAAGATTGCTTTTGAAAATACGTAGTACATTTATTCAGAATTCAATTTTTTTAAACGTTTGGAAGTGTTTCCTAAATAGAGGTGGACTATGTCTATTTATGTGTTACCCCTTTGGATTAAAGAGGTGGTTAGCATTCGTAAGGGTGGTCACTAAGCGGGGTACAAATAGCATCATTTTATAATTCATTTGTTTAGCACCATAAATCAAACTATTAATAACATGCTTACTTATTTAGAATATACGCGGAAAAAAGGATAGAATCCTCATATTGAGGATTACTATGACCTATTAAAAAGGTATTCCTTCTGGTGGATATATTTTTTAGTATGACCGGCACATGAAGTGGTACATCATGTGTCACTATATAAACAGTGAGATATGTGTGTTAAAAAGTTAATAACTTAAAAAGTAAAATTTCTCACCATTTATATAAAAACACATGATGTATCATCCGTGTTCTCGTCACAATAAAAAATTTCTCCTTCTATGTAAGTAAAATTTACTATCTAGTACTACGACCCAATGGTTTTTCTTTTGACATGTAAGTAAGAGGTTACATGAAGAGGACATGTTATCTTTGTGTTGAGTTTAGGTAGTGACTGACACATCCCCTAGTATAGTCCAATCCCCTTTCTTTTTAAAGTAAAATTCACATGGAACGTGAAAGAAAAATCTTGAAAGTGAAATGGAGCAAAAGTTCCCTCATGTTGTTAGACATCCATGTGGTACCTACATTAAGATCGTTTCTCGTTTTAATGCATGCCTTGTTCGTACGTATGCATATGCAGGAAGAAGAGTAGCTATTTGGTTTTCAACAACAAAAACTAGGGAATAAGAAGACTGTTGGGTACTTGAAATTGTGTAATTGCCTGAGAAGGTCAGTTCTTGGGGGTGGAGGTAGAGGGAGGGGCTTTACGTAATAATCAATTAGTTGGAGGTGGGGAAGGCAGGCAGCTTGTTGAATTTTCATTTCTTTTGGTAAAATACTAGATATACTCATTATGTCTTAATCAGACTAATTATGCCTTAATCATAAGGGAACGCTCTAGCCATGCCTGGTCGACTTTGGACTTTGTTTTACTTTATCTTATGTTACTTTCAATTATTGCCAACCTCTCCTCAATTGTTAATTATTTCATAACTTTTTTTTTAGGGTTAAACTATGTTTACTATCCTGAAGTTTTGTGGTTTTTTAACATTTAGTACATCAAGTTTTTTTCGTCCCAGAGTCATACCTAAAGTGTAAATTTTGGAACAGTCTCATACATCCGTTAGTTAAACTGTTAAGTCTCCTGTTAACTGTGACATGGCGTCTATGTGAACAATGAATAGACGTCACATGTCAATAAGAGTTCCACGTGAATATTAAAAAAAATTTAAATTTTAAGTTTAAAAAAAACAAAAAAAAATAAAATTCTGGCGTTCATCCCGTCTATCCCTCCTGACCCCCTCCCTCCTCCCTCCCTTCTCTCCTCTGCAGTACACACGGAGCTCTCCTACCCCTCCCTCCGATCCCTAACCCTAACCTCAATCTGGTATAAAAAATTAAAAAAAAAACTTTAAAAATTAAAAATCTGGAATTGCAGGTCGTCGGACTTGATGGGTCCTCGAGGGGCCTTCGATCTCGCCTTCGTCCCAGTCCTCAAAGTAGGTGGAGGAAGGTTCAAAAGATTTGTGGATGGAGAATTCGAATCGGGAATCTGATTGGGATTCGGGTCATGTATAGAGGATTAATGGAGGGAGATGGGCTGGGTGGGAGGTGGTGGTGAGGGGCTGGTATTGCTCGCGTCGGGACGAGAGACAGAGATGATGATGGCGCTCGGCAACTCCTCGAAAATCTGAGCGAGCTTGAAGGATAACAAACGGCAGAGAAAGGAGGAGGGCGACATTGCCGACTCCGATCGCATTTGGAGAGGGAAAAGCTCGTCCACTATGAAGGGTGGAGGAGAATTTTTTTTAATTTTTTTTAATATCCATGTGGGACCCTTATTGACACGTGGCGCCCAATCATTGTCCACGTGGTGTCATGTCATCAGTTAACAGTTTGACTAACGGATGTATGAGATTGTTCCAAAATTTATGCTTTAGGTATGACTCTGGAACGAAAAAATCTTGATGTACTAAATGTTGAAAACCACGAAACATAAGGGTAGTAAACAATATTTTGCCCTTTTTTTTTAATTTAATGTGCAATGTACGACAAATTTTTATGCAAACAACTCTAACTTAACAAAATAATTGACAAAATCGATGGCTTAAAAGACAATGACATGTCATTTAGGATTATGGTCTAGTGGTATTCCTTTTCATTTGTAAGTGGAATGTCTTAGGTTCGATTCTCGCCAAAGATAAAATTGAACCACATTATTATGACAATCCTATTATAGCACATTATGAGGCTTAATTCACCTTCTTCCTTTATTGTAAATAATATCGTTTGTTTAAAAAAAAAAAAAAAACAATAACATAAGTTGAAAGTTCAAAACATGCTATATAAGCAAATTAAAAATTCAAAAGACAGTGGAATAATAATGTCTAATATTCAAAGGTCAATGTTGAAGGAAAGGGACTAAGTAACAGCTATTGACAAGTCAACGATATCACTCTTGATATTTTGGCTTATTATAGGAGACAAATTTGCAATTGAATTGCATAAATTTATAATCCTTTTGAATATCGATAATGTAGGCTAGATTGTACTTGTTTGTCAAGAGAACCTCTTTGTATAAAAGTCTTCTTATCAATAGAATAAAACTCACTTTTGCAAAACATACTTTGTCCGCTATTTTATGAGTAATACTATTTATAACATGTTTTGTACCATATTTTCATACATTTTAGATGACATTTGATATGAATAACTACATCATTTGAATTAATCAGATTTTTTTAATTTAGTTCATTATCTAATAAACTAATAATTAAGAAAAACTAATTAATTAAATGATGATTATGGTATACTCTTCGTCTTTCTCCTTCGTTTCCTTAGGTTTTGCAAAATTTTCAAATCATGTGTTAGGTTTTGCAAATTTTTCAAATGATGTGGTGTGGCAGTCCACATCAGATGCCACCTAAAGTGGTAAAATATAATATGAATAACATTACTCCTATTTTATATGGTATCAGAGTTAAGTTAAAACCCTTGTTCTTTTGGCGCTACTCCCTTTTGTTGTTATTTCAAAGTAGCCTTTTTTTTTTTTGTCGACCATTGCCATGTCTAAAGACGAGCTTTTGAGCGGAAGCAATTGTGATGCCAAGGCTGACACTTCCAATCCATTGTTCATCCACCATTCAGATATTCAGATCACCATCGATGATGTCAGTCTCGAAACCCATGAACGGGCACAATTATATTACCTGGCTCCGTGCCATGAAGATCTCACTGGGTGTCAAAAACAAACTCCGCTTTGTTGATGGTACTGTCACACATGATAAATTGGTTACGTATAATATATGAATACGACAGTATGAAGGCTTGGTGGGTTGATGATTGCACGTGTGGTAAGGCATGCTTCTCCTCCTAACTCTTTTTACCCCTCAACCCCCACAAACTACATATTCAACCCCATCTGCCAAAACTCAACACCCCCCTCTCTCTCTCTCCAACACACACAGCAACCCTTGTTCCTACCTACCTCCTCCTCACCCCATCTGGCCTCTCCTCCTTTTTTCTGATCAACAACAACAACGACGCACACGTAGCTGCTCTCTCTCTCTCACACACACAGAGCAGCCCTTGTTCATACCTACCTCCTCCATCTTACCCGGCCCATCTCCTTGTATTTATTACTTCTCACAAACTCCACTTTTAGTGACCAACAACAACAACGCGCACGTAGCTACTCTCTCTCTCTTCTCTCTGATCACCATTTGATTCATTTCTGCTAGCCTGCTATATTATATCAAGCCTCCTCTCTCCAATAATTCTTATTTTTCTGTATATTTCAATCTGTTTATTGGTCGATATATCACACACAAAGAAGCAACAGTCACCATGATCTCCATTGCTTCTAATTCCGTTGAAACCCAAAAGCCGGCAGACACATCTACCAATCTCATGCCTCCTCTGATTAATTCTACCTCCCAAAAAAACCTAACCCAATTGCAACCCCCCGCCTGCACCAACAATATTATTGATTCCACCACCGCTACCGCCACCATTAACCATGTATTCAGATCAAAACTACCAGACATACCCATCCCCAACCACCTCCCTCTCCACACCTACTGCTTCCAGAACCTCCCCGAGTTCTCCGACAGGCCTTGCTTGATCGTGGGCACCACCGGAAAATCATACTCTTTCTCCGAGACCCACCTCATTTCTCAGAAGACCGGCGCCGGCCTCTCCAACCTCGGCATCCAAAAAGGCGACGTCATCATGATCCTCCTCCAAAACTGCGCAGAGTTCGTCTTCGCTTTTATGGGCGCTTCCCTGATCGGCGCCGTTACCACCACCGCCAACCCCTTCTACACCACTGCCGAGATTTTCAAGCAGGTCAAGGCCGCTAATGCCAAACTCATCATCACTCAATCCCAGTACGTCGATAAGCTCCGAGAAGATCCCTCCTCCGCCGACGGTGCCGACCAGAATAAATATCCAAAACTCGGCGAAGACTTTAAGGTCGTCACGATTGACGATCCTCCGGAGAATTGCTTGCATTTCTCCGTGCTCTCCGAGGCCAACGAGAAGGAGCTTCCGGACGTGGTGATCGACGCGGAGGACCCGGTGGCCTTACCGTTCTCTTCGGGGACCACGGGGCTCCCCAAGGGAGTCATTCTAACACACAAGAGCTTGGTCACCAGCGTGGCCCAGCAGGTGGACGGAGAGAATCCAAACCTCTACTTGAAGGAGGACGACGTCGTATTGTGTGTGCTGCCGTTGTTTCACATATTTTCGTTGAACAGCGTGCTGCTGTGCTCGCTGCGAGCAGGGGCCGGAGTTCTGCTGATGCACAAGTTTGAGATAGGTACGCTTCTGGAGCTGATTCAGCGGTACCGAGTGTCGGTGGCAGCGGTGGTGCCGCCGCTGGTTATAGCGCTGGCGAAGAACCCAATGGTGGCGGAGTTCGACCTGAGCTCTATTAGGGTGGTGTTGTCGGGAGCGGCGCCCCTGGGGAAGGAGCTGGAGGAGGCGCTCAAGAGCCGAGTCCCTCAGGCGGTGTTGGGTCAGGTTAGTACAAGTGTACACATGATTTGTTTCGTTTCTCAATGGATTCTTCTGTCAATCATCTCACATTCATTTCATTCATGCTAGTTAAATTAGCACCGTCGATTCAGACAAAATCACTGAATATTATTACAAATCTAAATCGGATCGGATGACATTCATAGCCGTACGTAGTACAGCCCCCTCAAGACAACATTAAATATTGTCTAGCTCAATAACTCCCGCGTTGACCGTATGAATTGTAAATCTAACATTTCTTTGGTAGTAGTAGGGTAGAGCGGTATGAAAGTGTTGTCGTAGGGTAGAGAAGAATGACCGTTGGGAACATTTGTTGTTGTTGATATGCTGGTCAGTCAATTTACGTGATATGTGAACACAAACAATCTGCCACCAGAGAAACAAACTTACGTGGCTGTTTTGTTAAGTCGTTAGAGTGTGTGTCGAGAAACAAACTTACGTGTTCCTAATAATTTTTTCAAATTAATTAATTTAAGAGTAATACTAGAGAGACAAGATAAAATTTGTAAACTAAATGATGTGTCAACAATAAAAAATGAGCACGTTTATCAACGCCTAAGTAATAATCGAATGAACAACTTCTATGTCATTTAATTTATAAATTTTATCTAAAAATTTAGTCTTCATAATATTACTCTTAATTTAATCCTCACCCACATGGCATATATATCTATACACACACACACATGCTCTCTCGTGCACCCCCAAATTGGCCGCTCCATAGCCTCAAACTTAGCTAATTCCCTTCAAAATTTGTTCTATGAAATATTAGGATCACCTTATTGGATTACGGGTTATTAGTTAAATGAATGCATGGGGCTAATGGCTTGGGAATTTGTCTTTTTAAATTATATTTTTAGTTCTCTATAGTTTCGATAGAATTGTTGTATCCCAAAAAAAGTTATGATATGGATGTACGTGTTACAATAGCAGCCACAAAATCAAGCAATAACAAATAAAATAATTGAAGACGGGGACCCCAGTTAGGAATAGACAACGGTTACGGTAGGCGGGTAATTGCGGTTATTTACCCATAATCGTTTATGTGCATACCCTAATTGCATAAACGGTTATACTCATACCTATAACCGTTTATAAACGATTAACTATACCTATAACCGTGTACCTATTTAACCATAACCGTTTACCCATTTAACCGTTCACCCATTTTTGAACCCATTTATCCTTTTTTTTTACCCATTTACCCCTATTTTTCACCCGTCTACATATTTTTTTTAACAACTTGAAAATTACAAAAGAAAAATTTGTCATAATTTTCGTTTTTTAACAATTAAACACCGTTATAGGTATATTTTAGCATGCATTTCTCTATTTTAATCATTTAAGTCCTCATATAATTCCAATAATTAAAATAATAGTTTACAAACGATATTTTAAATTTTAACTGTTGTATGTGATGCCTTTGCATAGTGGCGGGGAAGTTCCATCCATGCAAAGAACTCCGCATGGTTTGGTGCTTCGGCGCAGGATGTTTGGCTTCAAAATGGCCTGCTAAGTTTTAAGCATCATGAATTCATGGAAGAGTACGAGTGTCCTTTGCAGTCGCCAAGAACCATTTGAGCTGTATAGATTTGCATGGAAGAGACACTTTAGTCGGGGCAAAGAGTTCAGCGACAGATTGAAATTTTAGGGTTTTTATTTTAATTTTACATATATTAAATTAAATGGGTAAATGAATAACTGTTATAACCGCGAGTAATAATCATAACTGATGGATACCCGTTATAACTACGGGTAATACTCATAACCGCCCATTTAAATTTCACAGATAAACAGTTATACCCATAATCGTTTGTTCGTCTAAACGGTTACCCATAACCGTAACCGTGAATCTTAAATAGACGGATAACCGCGGTTACCCAAACCCATTGGTATTTTGCTCATCCCTAACCCTAGCTAATAGATCGGGGCCTCGGATATATGGATGCATGCATGGAATCACACTCATGGATAGCGATGATCAAGGGAATTAAAGACCACTCTTGTAAACCCTATTTTATTGGACCAAAACTTAATAGCTAATGTTTGATCGTTTAACAATTTCAAGTACTAACTAGAATCTGCTTACCAGTTATATTAACTGCGTTATGTGCATGTAAATCGTAATTAGTTGAAGCTATTAAGTGTTAACAACATGGTTAACTAATTAATTACTGTGAATGAAATGAATGTAGGGTTATGGGATGACGGAGGCAGGGCCGGTGCTGTCAATGTGCATGGCTTTCGCAAAGGAACCGATGCCATCCAAGTCAGGTTCGTGTGGGACGGTGGTCCGAAATGCAGAGCTCAAGGTCCTTGACCCTGAAACTGGTCTGTCACTCGGCTATAACCAACCAGGCGAGATTTGCATCCGTGGCTCTCAAATTATGAAAGGTATAATTAACTACCTATGCTAAATATTAATCTGCGTTAATTAATTACTTATTGATCTCTGTTCTTTCTGATTAATTTCTTCTAAATAATTAACCATATATTACATACGATGCGTACCCTACCAGGATATTTGAATGACGTTGCGGCTACGGCAACCACCATAGACACGGAGGGCTGGCTTCACACTGGTGACGTGGGTTATGTGGATGATGACGATGAGGTTTTCATCGTTGACAGAGTCAAGGAGCTCATCAAATTCAAGGGCTTCCAAGTATGCATGTTATTATAATTTAATTTTCGTCAATGATGACTTAATTAAGTAGCTTGATATATATATATAGCATTAATCTTTCAATTAAATAAAATAAAATAAATTCGAGCTTTTATGCAATCATTCGCGAATGAACGACGTACATATATATATAAAATCCTGTTTTACAGGTGCCACCAGCTGAGCTGGAGTCCCTCCTTATAAGCCACCCATCAATTGCAGATGCGGCCGTTGTTCCGTAAGTATTTTTACACAAACAATGTCTAGTTAATCCCATTAATTAATCACTAAAAATGCTCGCAAAACCTTGATCGAAGCATAACATATTTGTGTTATGAATGATTGCAATTAACGAGCAGGCAAAAAGATGCTGCTGCTGGTGAGGTTCCCGTTGCATTTGTGGTTCGGTCTGATGGTCTTGAACTTACTGAAGAGGCTGTAAAAGAATTTATAGCAAAACAGGTACATCATACAAATATATATATAAATTTGCAATGGAATTGATAATAATTAATTTGTCTGGAATAGTGAAATTGAATGAATGAAACTGCATGCAGGTGGTGTTTTACAAGAGACTGCACAAGGTGCACTTTGTCCATGCAATTCCAAAGTCTGCGTCTGGAAAGATCTTGAGAAAAGACCTGAGAGCCAAGCTTGCCACCGCAACCCCACCGCTGCCCTAATTTTGATGAATCATCTTAATTAGCATGTACTGTATCATAATGTTATTATTTTTCCCATTTGATGGTGAAAACAGGGCTCGATCAATCATACGTGTAATTCTTAGAAACACTATATCAAGTTTGGTTTCCATCATATCATATCATATCAAATTTATTGATGAATAAGAAACATCACGATATTGGTACTAACCTACTGTTGACTCTAAAAATTACAAAGCCTACGTGACGCGCAGGCCGAGTAACTAATAAGCTAACTAGTCATTCGGTTGAATGCGGGGCGTGCCAACTCATCGGCCGAGCTTGGCCGAGGAGTAAAATTTGTTGATGTTGCGTTGAGCGCGTTGCTAACTTCTTTATCTTGCGATTGCGGCCGAGGAAGGAACAAATCTTGGCCTTTGGATTCTTGAGCCTGAAGACAAGGCTGCTAGTTCTGCGAAGTTCAATATCAAATTCGGTTCTTATGGTGCCGAATGTAGTAACCTGGTAACACCTCACTTTGCCCAAAAGGCTAATGAGATGACCTCTGCCAATAAGGATTCGAAAATCCTTCTCGACCGAGACTTGGATAGAGAACCAGTCGGCCTCGATGCAGTGCTGTTTATCCAAACTGAAGGTGCTTCGAGAACGGCTGATTCTACGGCAACAATGCTGTTTATCCAAACTGAAGATGTTCGTCGGCTGTTTATCCAAACTGAAGATGTTCGCCGGTTGCCTTCACAGTGCTGTTTATCCAAACTGAAGATGTGTTGGCGAGAAAAAGAAAATAAAAAAATCTTAAGATGTTTGAGAGGTTTTGCGCAGGGCAGTTGTGTGTTGAATTGGAGGTCTTTTTACGTTGCTTGCTGCTTGGTATTTATAGAGATATGCATGGCCAAGTCGCGAAAACCAATTCCATTCACACTGTGACTCTGAGTCTTCATTGGTTGCTAACCTTACGTCTTATCAATCAAGACTTGCCGTCATCTGCAACCCAATGCAATCTTGTTTTGACTAGATTATCGGCATAATTCTAAGAATATCCATCAATACTTTTTATTCCACCATAATAACCCTGATCCATGCATAATAAACTTCTGCCAAATACCACATGCATGCATGATAACCATGCATCCAACAACTCTAATCAAACCTTCAGCCGTAACCATGCATGGCTGGCCAAATCCAAGCACACATAGATGACCAACTCCAATCTGGCATCCTCATCTTGCACTAATATCTATGCCAATCCGTATCCATCTACCAACACTGCATTAATGTATTAGGACTCTTGATAAAATACTCTGATGCTTTAATCCTCCGCACGTCTAAATTCCAAGAACCCCAAATCAACTTGAACTGTACTGCTTGCTTAGAAATATAATTTGCATCGTATCTATCCCATTTAAGAATATACCAAGATAATTCATTTTAAAGAAAATAATTATTATGATAAAAATCATAATATTATTCGTTAACAAAATTATCTTCACTTTTCCATCTGATGATCGGAAGTTATGCTAACTCAACGATCTTGATTGCTCGCATCGATTGTGTAATTTTCAGCCCAAACACCTACATACAACGTTTTAAGAAAGTTTTAAGTTTTAAGGATGACCGCTATAAAAGAAAATTTGTTTTTTTTTTTTTTTGGTTAAGCCGGGTATGGCCGGCCAAAATTTTTGTCATTTTTTTCTTTTGTTTTTTATTTTAAGAAAATGGTGTAGCTTAATAAAATGAGTTCAAAAATTTATATTCAACTTATGTTATAACAAAAATGTTGAGAGCTTAAAACGAAATATGAATGAAGGATTGAAGTATCTGATCGGCCTCCGGAGATGAATATTGAAAGAGCTTACCAGATGCACCATCGATCTCAGACACCTCGACCAGACGAGGGAAAAGCTAAAAAGAAAAAAAACCGTAGTGAGTGAGCAAAAAGCAAATACTAATGAAGATCGAATTCTTATAATCTATTTGTACTATTATTTATATTATAAAAAGAAAATAATAATATTCCCGCATGCATAAAATATTTTAAAGCGCGAAAGTTACACAAACCCTACAAAAACCCTCAACTGAAAACGTCTCAACCCGCCATCTGCCGCCTTGTATTCTTTGCCAGAAAAACGAGGAGGGCATTCATCCCCATTCGATGTGAGAGAGAATATTAGATTTCCTTGGTCATCAAGAATAACATTTTTCTCCCAACAAACATAAATTAATTAAACCTCTCTAAAACCCTCCTCCCACTTTTTTCCCTTCCATAAATCCAATTAATTCCAAAGGGTTTTTCTTTTCCCTAAAACCCCCAAAAGTAATTGCAAATATGGCCAAGCCCACATACGCATTAGGGCTTATCACCGCCCTGGCAGCCTCCGCCTCCACCTCCTTGTCCAAGACCAACTCCGACTGTGCTTATGCCGACGGCCCTTTCAACTTCTCTCCCTTCTCTTCTTCTCCTTCCAATGCTTCCCAACAACCCTCCTCCCCTTCTTCTCCGCTCCAATCTGCGCCGTCAGTTCCGCCGCCTTCGACCTCCCCGACCGGAGGTGCTGCCAAGCCCCCTCCCCCACCCAAGGTTCGCAATGATCAACCCAGGACATCTGCCGCTGGCTTCGATCCTGAGCCTCTGGAGCGCGCTGCTAAGTTGTTGGACAAAATCGCCAAATCTTCTAGTGCCAAAGAGGTTGCAAATTTAGGGCCTTTTCTTTGCATCTTTTTTCAGGAATTATTTTTTATTTGTTCTTTTTTACTGGGATTTTGGGATTTGATCTTCTGCTTTATTGACGGGCTCTGTTTGTTATTTAGTTACTTTATAGCAATTTAATATTTGATGGTTCATGTCTAAATTCAGAAGTTGGGAATGCACTTATGGAGTATGCCATTTATTACGTCTTATTATTTATCCATGTTTCATGTTTCATGTTTGTGCTTAGAGAGAAGTGACAGTATGTGTTAGAAATTTCATCAAGCAGCCCTTTTATTTTGATGGGTTTCCGTGAATTGATGTTTTCTTTAATGGTTGCTCTTTTGCCACTGCATAGGTCATCGGAGCTACGGTGAAGCATGAAGAGACAAGGCAGGCTGAGTTGAACGCAAAGGCTGCGGAGTATGCTGCATTGAAAGCCCAAACTGAAGCGGTAGGATGTTCTACTTATTACCCCCATTAGGCTTTTTTGGATTAATGACACTCCTATAAGTTTGTAAATTCCCGATGTGATTTTGCTGGCACCAGTTTTTCTGAAGTCATCTACTTCATGACAGGATACGAAGAAGGCCATCTACGAGGAGCAGAAAAAGCTAGCTCAGTTTCAAGCCCAAACAAATTCCCAAATGGCTAGGTATCAGGATGAATTGGCAAAGAAGAGGATGGAGGCAAGCTGACTTGGAACATTTTTTTGGGATTTCACGCGGAAGCTTTTGGAGAATACGAAATTCAATTCTAGATTTAATTCGTTGATGTTAATGCAGAATGAAAATAGATTGGCAAGAGAGAGGAACCAAGAGACGGTAAAATGGCAAGAAGAATCAGCAAGTAGGCTGGAGCAAACTCGTCAACAAATAGAAGCTGATATCCAAGAGGAGCGTCGACGGACTGCAAAGGAGCAGTCTGACCTAGATCGTAAAAATTTCTTGGCGAAGGCTTTGGCAGATGCAGAAGGGAGAGCCCTTGAAGCAAAGCTAACCGCAGAAATAAAAAGGGACCTGCTGTTAGAGAAAGCAAAAGCTGAGAAAGAGAAATGGGTTTCTGCCATAAATACCACCTTTGATCATATTGGAGGTACTTTCCATAGTCATTACCTATTCCTATATCTTGTACAAAGAAGGATGATTCTTCTTCAAACTAAAAAAGGGCAGCTCAGCGGCTCTTCTATTTGCCATCGTATACTCATTTGAAGTTTGAACTAGGAAAAGTTCATGTTATTTCTGAAAAAACTGTTGATGCAGAAATAGCTATTTTTTTGCAGGTGGCTTGAAAGCGATTCTGACAGATCAGAATAAACTAGTTGTTGCTGTTGGGGGAGTTACAGCTCTAGCTGCAGGTGTTTACACAACAAGGTCTGTGTTGATATTTTAAACGAATATTTGAAATACTGCATTTTCCCTTTACCTATGTGTGGCCTTTCCTTTGAAAGCTAGGGATCTATTTTTTTCTTTCTATACTCCTGGTTCATCCTCTTAATTTGCTTAGCAATTTTTGTATGTTTTCCATGTGGAGAAAGGAAAAAAAAAGAACTGTGTTGGCATTTGACTCTCTCTCTCTCCCCCCTGGGACCAACTCGGACATGAAACTCTAGATCGGTTATTCCCTTAGTGAATGCCCATGAATTGTTAACTTCTGAAACTTAGTTTGTTTTTCGTTTTGTTCTTCTTTTCTGGATTGATATTTGATTCACAGAGATAGACTTGCAGTCAAAGTCATAGCAGGTTAAGAGTCTACCTTCGTGAAATAACTTGTGTACCTTGCCGTTTTCTTATGCACGTCTCATTTATCCAATGCAGAGAAGGTTCAAGGGTGATATGGAGCTACGTGGATAGAATATTGGGACAGCCATCTTTGATCAGAGAGTCATCTAAAGGGAAATACCCTTGGTCAGGATTATTCTCACGTTCTATAAGTGCCCTATCTCTCGGTGGAAAAAAGGGTCAAATACAAAATGGGAAGGCCTTTGGTGATGTTGTTTTACACCCTTCTCTTCAGAAAAGAATCGAACACTTGGCTAAGGCAACTGCGAATACAAAATCTCATCAAGCACCGTTCAGAAACATGCTCTTCTATGGTCCTCCAGGAACTGGGAAAACAATGGCTGCTAGAGAGATGGCTCGGAAATCTGTATGATATCTGACCCTATCTTTAAAGCAGTATTCAGTTTTAATTTCCATTTTGTTGCTTCTTCTGCTAGACAATAGTGAGCACTCCTGGATGTGCGGTTATTTAGGAAAGTGGTTACTTGCCATTAACTATAATAAAACTTCTAGAACTGTGTTTATGATTTTAATGTGTTTTTATATTATTTCAACGTAGTTTTTATGTTTTGACTTTTGCTTCAGAGTCCGTATCTTGAATGGAAAGTTTTAGTAATTTGTTCCATGACAACTCCATTCATGCTCATATGATTTTGATCTGCCAGCTTTTGTTTTGTTTTCATCCTTCATCCTTTTGCATAATCTTCCTTCTCATGTTTGTCTAAGCTTGATTCAAATTGTCTTTAGGGATTAGACTACGCATTGATGACGGGAGGGGATGTTGCTCCACTTGGACCAAGGGCTGTTACCAAGATACATGAGTTATTTGATTGGGCCAAAAAGTCACGGCAGGGTCTGCTACTTTTCATTGATGAAGCTGATGCATTTTTGTGCGAGTAAGTCATTCAATTAACAGGCATGAAAATGGTGTTTTAATTTCATTGTAGTCTCGTAGAAGTGAACTTGCACTCTCTGGCTGATCGATTGAAAACTCACCTGAGAGGGTTGAATGTGTTTAACAAAACTTGCAGGCGGAACAAAACCTATATGAGTGAAGCTCAAAGAAGTGCACTCAACGCTCTCCTGTTCCGCACTGGTGACCAATCCAAGGACATAGTCCTTGCCCTTGCCACAAACCGTCCCGCTGATCTGGATTCAGCTGTCGCTGATCGTATTGATGAAGTGCTTGAATTCCCTTTGCCTGGGGAAGAGGAACGCTTTAAGCTGCTGAAATTGTATCTGGACAAGTACATTGCTCAGGCTGGTTCATCAAGCAGATCTGGTTGGTTCCGTAATTTGTTTAAGAAACAACCACAGAAGATAGAGATGAAGGGGTTGACAGATGATATGGTCAGAGAAGCAGCGGCAAAGACTGAAGGGTTCTCTGGGAGAGAAATAGCGAAACTAATGGCAAGCATCCAAGCTGCGGTTTATGGGAGTAAGGATTGCGGGCTTGATCCAAGCCTATTTCGTGAAGTTGTAGACTACAAGGTTGCTGAGCATCAACAGAGAAGAAAATTTGCAGCTGGAGATAAAGGTAGCGTGTAGTGTGGATAGCGTGTCCAGTAAGTTATTTTATAAATTATGGGGGAGGCAGTTTTGATTCTATTAGGTTAGGTTAGTAAACTAGGTAGAGATAAAAGACAGACCTTGACGTTTACCTGGAGAGAGAATCATAGAGAAGCCTGGCTGGGGCTTTTTAATTTTGGGCATGAACAAAACAAATCATGTTATTCATTATTTGCCCCCCATCACTGGTGGGGTTTTTGTTTAATTTTATAAATTTAATGCTCATGGCGGTGGACAAGTATTCATGCTTCATGCCACATGCATATATTAAAATAAATTTACTTGTGTTCCCTTCCGTTCCCTTCCCAGGATTTTCAATGCAATTGAGATGTTACCGGTAAGAGAACAAACAGAAATAACCTTTGTAAATATTCAGCCCAGACCAGATCATGCACGTGTTCTTACCGGTAAGAAGATGTGTAAATATTCATCTCAGATATTAAACGTGTTCTTACCGGTAAGAACACGTGCAAATAAAAGATGCATGTTATTACTTGTCCTGACATGCTAGGGAGCAAATGCATATGGATGCGGTTGTTGGAAAAATGAGATAGAAAGTAGTGGATCGCCAAGTATATGGACAACCCCCCCAATTAGCATCTAATGCGCGACTCATTAAGAAGAGTTTCGACATTGTTTTTGGTTCACTTGTTCTTGTGGTGTGGAGTGTTATTGCCAAATGAGCGGACGATTATTGTATCGAGCACCGATAAACCATAAGCATTGTAATGAGGTGAAATATTATCTTAGTTTTGAAATGAATTCGTCTAAATTCACATCGAGTCTATGGAACTCCATTAAACTCCATAAATTACTCTTTTGAGATTTTTTTTTTTTTTTTGTTGTGTGAGAGTGGTCTTTGAATTAAAAGCATACTAAAACTAGTAGCTGGATTATTGTGGAGTATTGATTCTTGATGCAAATTGTGACGATATTTTGTCAAAATACGAGTGATGCATACGTGCTTGAAAGAGATGTTTGTGCACTTGTTCGACTTGGTCTTGGAAACTACGATTGTCGTGCGCTTAATTGTGACAAACTATTGACTTTCACGATTCATGACTTTGCACGTCCCATGTCAGTGGAGGTGGGTGTGACACAGAACGTTCATGTCGTACGTGTTATCTGGACACCATCATATGATGAATGAAACCAACAATCAAATGCTGAAAGACAAACGATGAACAATAATATAGGACACCGTACAGAAGAAACTGTCAAATTAATCGTATGATTCTATTCTTGTACGTAGGTGGACAATTCTCTTCAAACTACATAAACAATCCACTTTGAATTCTATTACAACGAAACGGAGGCCTAAAGACGGTAAAACTAAAAAAAGAATGGGATAAAAATTACAATAGCACATATTGGACATGCAAAGCAAAGCGAAGCATTTCCCACAGCCGACATCCTCCCGAGTATCAAACCAACCAAGACTCATCTGCTTGTTTGTAACCTAAACTACATCCAACTTATGGCAATATCTAACAGCGATAATCATGAGGGTGCGTGATGACCTATTCACTTCCGGCAAACTACTCTCGACAATATACAGATGCTAACACTATTGTCCATGGTGCTCATGCTTGACACGTGCTTTCAGTATTCCGGGAAGGGGTGGTGACATGGGTGGTGGTCTAATTGGCGTGTTTAACATTGAAGAAAGAGGGATTTGTGGCTGATACATGTCCGACATGCTACAACCTTCGCCTCCATCTACAATTAAATTTTGTGTCGCATCATCACCCTGCTGCCTATTACAAAACTTCATTGCCTTCAAAACATAGTTGTCATCATGGAGCTCAAATGGGGTGCTGCAAAAACAAAAGATAAGAAAAATAATGAGTGCAAAACCTTTTAACAATTGAAAATACTTCTTATTGAGCCATTACACAGAGACAGAGTTGACCCATTAACAGCGGACAATCATGTATAGATGTTATGTTACTACCAAGATATTAACATCTGTCATGTCGTTCTGTTTACAACAGTATAAGAATGAAAGTTACCTATTGAAGTCAAAATGCACCAGCTGCATATCTTCTGATATTTCCACCTCAACAGTTGCATGGGGGCGAGTCTAGGGATAAAAGAAATAGATAAATAGTAAGTACGAGGCATGATAAAGCAACTCAGAGTCTTGGGAAAACTCAAATGCCAGACCATAATATAAGGCACTTCTGATATCTCCAGGTAAAAGTTAAAAGAAAAACACTTATACATCCTTCTAAAGCATCTAGGAAAAGAAGAGCTCAATCAGTGCACGAGTTATTAGTGTGACAACAGAAGTAATCAAGAACCAGATAACAACAAACTTGCATAAAAGGATTTCTGGCAGCATATTAGTCAAGTAAAGCTAATCATATGCTTGTTCTTCTTTAGAACGGGATTGAAATATGACGGTTATAGTTGGTATAAAATATGATAAATCTTGTATCAAGCAGAAGGTTACACGTCACATATCACAAACCAACCAACCAAATCACACCAACTCTTCAAATCCAAACCATTTTGTTTTCATGCATCATACGTCAAAAAAGTACTAAATTCTGAACTATTTCTCAGAATGTGTAGTCATGAAACAAGGGAAACCTTGAGAAGAAAACTTGCCTGCACAAGAATGAAAGGTAAAGCCACACCTCCACTGGGCGCATCTCCAGAGTGGTATAATTGCTCATTCCGTTGTATCAGATTTTGAAGACCCACGTACTGATAAAAAGAGATAAGAATGTTAGTGTGTGTAGACACTGATCTACATGGTTGAGTGCATTATATCATTCAGACATGTTTTCGCAGAACTACATTAGTAATTATAGTTGACAATAGCTATTCATTACTTGTTCCTCCAGCTCTTGTAGATAGGCAGCTTTCTTTTCGATCCTATTTCTCAATCCCATGCGCTCAGTCTGCATTTAGTACATGTATAACTAGTTTTATAATCTCAAAATTGGTCTACAATGGTCAACAGATAATAAACCACTTAATATACAAGAGAGGAAAAATAGAATGCAATCAGACCTTCAGTTCTTCAATATCATTCAGGCCTGTACGAGGCAAACCCTTCCATTGTATTTCTTTTTTATCTTTAGATATAATATCCATTGCCATAAGAACATTGAGGGCATCATATACCCTTCGCCTGATGTTCTTCTCATCATCTTGTTGCTGCTAAATGAATTTGAACCCAAGACAGGAAAAAGTTAGCAAGTTCATTCCGGTTTTTCCCCAGAAGACTGCAGATGCATCAGCTTAGTTATCAAACCTGATCAGGGGATGTAACAGCATTGCTAGGGTCAGCAAACTCCGCTACAAGTTCATCTGCAACCTGGAATGCACTTCAAACTCTTAGGTTTAAGATTGTACTCAAACTTCTTTACCAATAAAAAAGAACAAATATTGTCTCAAAATAAAAGATATATGTTATACACTAACGAGAAAAGAGAAATAAATGGGGGCCAAAGGAACAGAACTTATATACATGTGGATCTTGCGAAAACTATTTTCTGTTATGTCAGTTTTAAATCACATTGCACTGCTCTCTTAATGCTAACACCATTGCCTAATGAGTCCCCTTTGCTCCAACAGCTATTGTTCCCAAGCAAGCATTTGATACATTACTCCCACTAAACAGCATGGCTTCAGATGATGTTGAAATTTAAGTGACCTCTGAGATTATACCACCCTCTGTAACAAGAAGGTCATTCATCCACACATGTCTAAGGACTAAGGAGTAAGCAACACCTCAGCAATCAGAGGAGGAACACCTCAGTATTTAGAGGAGAAACATTAGAGTCACTAGCCTGCGAATGCTAGCCTACGAATCACCTTTCTTTAGCACCAAACAGGCAGACACACATGTCAAGTGGTTGCTTGATAAGAAGAATCCAAATTTGTTAATTACCAATCCTTGATGGATGCTACAATAACCCACTTCAGTAACCCATTAGATCAAGATATGCATGAACTCTACTAGTTTCTACATGCAAACAAGTACTGAGGAGAAAGAAATGCTCCCTGATATCATGCATAATCCATTTGATACATAGGACCAGGAGTGAGCACTCATAGGGCAAAACGGAAAAAGATCAATAAACACAAACAATCAAACTGACTTGAAGAAACCATCCAACCTCATTATAAGTGGTTCTTCCTTTGCTCTCCACTTTCTCGCACACTGGACACGAGCAACACAGAATCAGACAATCAGGGAGACGAAGTATAAGCATGGACCAAAATAACAACAGTGTCCATCCCCTTAATGCAATACATAAGCAGTTAAATTCAACCACCTTTTTGGAAGGAAAAACAGAATGTAACAAGGAAATAAGATAAGACACGAAGGCGATCTATGAAGCACCTTTCATGCTGAATTGGCGTAGTCCTCTTCCATTCTTATCACCTGCCACGGCGCGTTGACCTCGCTTCTTCTTCTTGCTACTGTTCAAAAGAAATTTAACAAGTGCTGTAAATGAATCTGTTAATTATCAAACAAAAGTTTTACAAACATGTGCACACATCAGAGTCCTGATTTCGGCTCTCTCGTCACCATATCGTAGTAGCATAAAGTAGAGTGCTAGTTAACCCAATCTAATCGGTGACGAGAGAGTCAGGACTCTGAAACTAAACAATGTGGCTGCATATTCTATGAATACATGCAGTGGACATGCATATAATCAGAGATTCAGGGGACTCAAATGAAAAACAAAATCAAATTAATAAGCAAATATACCATATACAACAGAAATAATATTAGACAAACAAGAAAATGAGCACATAAATATAATATATATATATAATTATACAGAAATAAATAAAAATAATTTGTTTCGGTGCCCTAATAAGGCCGGAAGCAGAAAGAGAAGGGAGGGAGGGAGGGAAGTGACTGACCCAACGGCGCCTTGGGAGCCAGCGTCGTCGCCGTGAACGTCGGGATGGTTCAGTCGGAGAAAACTGTTGTCGCCGACGGGCGTGGCCATGGTCTGCTCGCTGCGGCTGGAGGGCGAGCCCACGCTGCCGCTCATGGAGACGGACTGACCCCCGGCCATGTCGTCGTCGTCCTGCCCTACTCGCTCTCGGCCTGGTTGCTGCTGGGACCTTGTCCCCATCCCAATTCCAACCACAGCACACCACTGGAATCTGGTATTAATCGGAGAATTAATTAACTAATAATCCGTATTAATCTGTAATTACGGGACGAAACCAATTGAATTGAATTGAATTAAGGTAAGCTGATCTTTGCAGTTTAGGGGTGTCTGTTGAATCTTGATTCTTCAAACCTCTTTCAAGATTACAAAAACAAAGAAGAGGAAGAAGAAGAAAGTGAAATCAATCAGTCCCGAGCAGTCCTGGAGAGACCCCTAAAGCTCGCCAAACCACATGTCCCAACTAAAGTCTTGCCCTTTTTCCTTTTTTGTTTTTTGTTTTTATCTTAATTATATATTATTATTCCCTGCTTTAAGAAAAGAAAGAAAGAAATATTAACAGCATTTCATTTTATCTTAGGATATTTTAGCATTTTCATCTCGTGATAGTATTTTACAAAGTCAACATGTGAGGTAAGAAGTCACCAGACAATTTGAACCACAGCTTATTCCTTTCTGTTAGCTTATTTTTTTCTGTTAGTATAAATAATATTGTTTGTATAAAAAAAAAAAGCATTATGTGAGATGCTTATTGTGAGACAAAGCTCATTCTTTCCTATTAATGTAGATAATATCGTTTGTTCAAAAAAAAAAAAAAAAAAATCATGTGAGAAAAGAATGATCATTGGATATACTATCGTCCACTAGTTAATCCAATTCTAAAAATTGGGTAATTCCATTACTGATTCTAGTTGCTCTAATCATAAAGATTTTAATTTCTTTTTTAAAGGACATTTTTTGTTTTAATTATACAGGGGAGAGTAAGGTTGGATAGAGATTTAAAACCAGGACACACACATTATCCATTAAGATATTAGATAGTATGCAAAATTTGATGGATTTTAATTTCTTACATGCAAATAAATGCAAAAAGCACTTAGTATTACGATTTAGTAGTATTGCTTTTTACTTATAAGTAAAAAAATTTAAGCTTGATTCCCGTCAAAATCGAATTTTAACCAATTCTCATGTTCACTCGTACGGTCGTACCACAATGTCAAAATACAAAGTCATGTTCAATGTAAACCTAAACAGGTCCTCATTCTCTCACTTGGCATGAGTGGTTTCGAGAAATATTGGCTAAGTGATACTTAGATCACTTAGTTTGATATTTCATTTTTTTTCCCAAAGTATTTGATTTTGATTTTTTGATTTTGTTGGGAAAATCAATAAATCTCGGCAAGAAATAAAATATCTAATTTATAAATGTTAGGATGAAGAACTGCATCTTTTGTGTGAACTCTTAGGTAAAAAAAACATTATATTATCTTCGTAATATGGGAATAAAATTCGAATTGCGGAAATTTTATTTCTAAAATTTGTTGTGTTTGAATCATTTGTTGTGTTTAGGTAAAAAAAAAAACATTATATTGGCTTCGTCATTTGTTGTGTTAGATGAGAAAATTTAAAATTATTAAGGAAATCTAAAATTTGTGAATTTTCTTGTTTTGTTAACCTAAAAGAACAATGAAATTTGAATACGAAACTTAATATGACTATAGTCATTAATAAACAAATATAAAGTAATTAGAAAGTGGTGGTGGTGGCGGCGGCAGGTGGTGGTAGTGACAGCGGTGATGGAGGTGGGTGGTGGCAGCAGCAGTGCTCGCCACAAACGATATGTGGCGGTGGTAGGGGGTGGTACTGGTGATTATGATGGTGGCTAGTGGTAATGGTGATCATGATGGCAGGTGGTGGCAATGTTGATGGTGGCGACATGCGATAGCGGTCGCAACTAATGGTTAAACTTTATTGTATTTTTTATTTTCAAACTCTCGCTCATATAAATTTGGAATAACACATATTTACATGAAATTTAAACTTAGAAATTAGAAGTCTCAAATTCCAGTATCTTTTTTCGTGTCGAAATTCTAGATTTTCATATTTATGAATTCAAACAGAAAATTGATCCATGTCTTTTATCTGAAGTCCAAGCTTTTAACCAAGTGGACGGGGGTTCAATTCCCACATACAGCACCAACTGTTGATACATAAAATCGGGTCGATCTTGGACCAACTAAATTCGACCGTAAATCACACATACACATAAGAATACAAAGATATATTATCAGAGCCAATCTCTGCCCGGAAGTGTGCCGATGAGGACGTCAGACCCCTAAAGAGGGCGGATTGTAAGATCCCACATTTCCCAGGGGTGAGGATCCTGTAAGCTTTATATGTATATTCTCATCCCTGCCTAGCACGAGCCTTTTTGGGAGCTCACTGGCTTCGGGTTCCATCGAAACTCTGAAGTTAAGCGAGTTCGTGTGAGAGCAATCTCATGATGGGTGACCCATTAGGAAGTTTTCGTGTGAGTTCCCAGAAACAAAACTGTGAGGGCGTGGTAAGGGCCCAAAGTGGACAATATCGTGTTACGGTGGAATCGAGCCCAGGATGTGGTGGGGACCCGGGCAGGGATGTGACATATATCATGGTTCGCCTCAAGTTGTGGTTACGTCCACACTGGTGTTGATCCATTTCCACCATGTAAAATAAGAGTTACATTATATATGAAGGCTTGTTTCTAGGGAGGCTAAGGTTTGTCATCCCTTTAAAGTGGGGGTGCAGGATCCCAATGGTTTCCTCCCCTCTTCCATAAATCATAGGTTAAGTAATGAGACTCAATATACGATAAAACAAGAACTAAATCATCTCACTTCTCACATAGAGAGAAAGTTGTAGCAATAATCCATCAACTTTACCTAATTGGAGTAATGGTCCCTCAACTAAAAATTCATGACCATTGGTCTCTTAATTCATCAAAACGTGCAGAGATTGTCATTTTCATCTACTTCATCAAAATGAGTTATGTTGGAAGGACTATTGCTACAATTGCGTGGCATGTGATTCATTCCGGCGAAAGTTCTCATGGAGTTAACGAAAAATATCATAGTTGCACGTTTTGATTAGTTAAGGGACTAATGATCACAAATTTTTAGTTGAATGACTATTACTTCAATTGGATTAATATTGATGGATTATTACTACAATTTGCTCTCTCACATAATAAGAAGTGAAAAGAAGTACCCCAAATTAAGTTTATAATATTTTTTTTTCAGATAACTTGAAAAATAATTATACATACACGTTTTGGTGCGAATCCTCACCGGTTTTACTCCCTCCTGCCAACTAACCATAACACTGTAAACAAAAGTTACATTTTCTTTTTTAAGATAAAAACCAAGCAATTTATACAAAGAATAATGTTAGAAAGATCAAAATTTTAAATTAAATTGTGTAAATTAAGATTTAGTTTTTGATGATTAAATAATCAATTAAATATCGACTAAAATGTTTATTTTCCATTAATGACAGATATTTTGATTTGCAAATTTGATTTAAATTTCAGTTCCTGCATAAGAACGGGAGCTTGTATCAGGCCCGGCAACCCAAACGACGGTGTAAACTCCTTTGTCATATCGATGGCTGGGTCCGCCACCTCGACCGGCGGGAGCGGTCCGTCGAATCCTCCGAAAATCCTACTAGCAAAGCCGGGACTCGTGCCGGGGACTCCGGTGGCGGGTAAATTCGGGCGTGGCGGCACCGGCGACGAGTACACGACGTCGCTTCGGTCCCGTCTCCCTTCTTCTATCGGATCCCTCAACCTCCTCTCTGATTCCTGGGACTTCCACATCGACCGCTTCCTTCCGGTAACCAACCAATTTCAAAAACACTCTTTAATCTTTTGTTCGTTATTTTTGTTATTGGTATTCCTTGAATAATTGAATTTCCGGCGGAAAATTGGCGCAGTTTTTGACTGAGAACACTGAGTTTACGGTGGTGGGGGTGATCGGTCCAACGGGGGTCGGCAAGTCCACGATTATGAACGAGCTTTACGGCTTCGATGCCACCTCACCTGGTCAGTTGTCACTCCTGACTCTCCTTGCTTGTATTTTTCTATGGGATTTATTTGCTTTTGTTTTTGGACGTTCTTGTGTGAAAGTGAAACTGTAACTATTTGAATTTGATAAATGAAGTAAATTGGAGAAATTGCAGGAATGTTACCCCCATTTGCTATAGAGACGGAAGAGGGTAAAGCAATGGCAAGGCATTGCAGCATGGGCATTGAACCCCGGGTTTCTGCTGAACGCATTATCCTTCTCGATACTCAGGTCTGCTACTTCTGCGTCCTAACCTTGTTCTAATCTGATTATCGATATTCAATCTTGATTCGTGATGTTAGTATGTCATATTTGTGTAACAAATGACTTACTGAGGGGGATGATCAAGTCTCCTTGTTTTCACTGGCAGCCTGTTTTTAGTCCTTCTGTTTTAGCTGAGATGATGAGACCTGACGGCTCATCAACCATTCCTGTTCTACCTTCAGCCGAGTCTTTATCTGCTGAGTTAGCTCATGAGCTTATAGGTATTCAGGTAAACTACAAAGACCAAATGAAACCAAATGATAGATGTTTACTGCTTTTGTTACCTGTATGCAGTGTTTAATCAACTTTTCCTTTTCTTTTCTGGGTGCTTTGCTGCAAGGAATTCTTATAGCTTGGTGTTCTTCTGACCTCCATCTGTCACTTTTTGCTGGTTATATCAGACGGAGTTCATGATCATAAAATGTGGCGTCTAATGTCCACGGTAATTTTCTCATCTCCATTAGGTATCGTCATATTTCAAATCTATCTTTGAATAACTTCATTTGTATGCAAGTTGTTTCTGTTAGATCCATCTTTTCAGTTTCTACACTCGATGCGTAGTTTTCAAACCAAACATTCTGATACTCCAAATATCATTTCATTTTAATCAGGCACTTGTTTTGGGTTGTTTGTTCAGATCCTCCGTTGTGTATTGCTCGAGTGTACTCTGCGTGATGAACCTAATATGATATTGTTCTTGATTTGATAGTGGATATATGCTCCCCCAAAGCTATGCATTATTTTGTTTTTCTTACTTGCTTTAAATGATCAGGAATTTCAAAAATTCCTTCCATTGTACATTTGTGCAAACTTCACGGGTTTCTTTGAGAGCGTAACATATATGTTTTGAGTGCAAAAGGAGGCCAGGCTTCGAGCCATCTTGGTTTTGCTTCTGGAAACAGCTTACAAAGGTCCATTAATAATTTTAAACATTATGTCTTCTGACTGTAGGTCGACCTCTTGAAACATGGCATTCCTGATCCATCATCACTGACCCTTGCCCCTTCCCAAAGCTCTAATACAGGGCCTGAAAAGGATAGAGAGAAAGTTCATGAAGGCAGAGAATATATGGCTATGCCAGTCTTTGTGCACACAAAGTAAGCTTTAAATGTTGTTCCTCTTCAATTAGATTGGCAACATAATGATACAAGATTGTGCTCTTACTGTTAATTAGACTGCGTGATCGTGATCTTAGTCCACATAATATTGCGCGATTGAGGAAGGCACTTGCACAATATTTCAGTACCTCTTCTCTCACGAAGGCAGACAATGGAAACACGTCCATAAGTCGTGATCCAGATTCTGTGGCTCCTGGTACTCAAAGTCATGATCTGGATTCTTTAATGCCAAGTTTGTTTGTAATCCCAACAAAGAATAAAGATGACTCCCCAGGAGATCAGTATGAAAGTTATACCTCTATGCTATGGAAATTGCGAGATAAGGTCTACCTCTCTCTGTCTGCCCCTGTAAAATTGGATCCATTCTGTAACACATTGCCGAGTGTTGTAACAATATTTCCTCACATCTTTATTCAGGTTTTATCAATGAATTCTCCTCCATTTGGAAGGACGGTGACGGAACGTGACTGGTTGAAGAATTCTGCAAAGATATGGGAACTGGTGAAGAGCTCTCCGATCATTGCAGAATACAGCAGAACACTTCAAAGTTGTGGAATGTTTAGGAGATAAACAGCTTCAATGACTGATGCCCGCCTTTCTTAACTCTCAAGGTGACAATGTGGTTTGTTCGACGTCAATTATTTAGTTAGTGGTTAGCATGCCCTAATTTTTAACATCTCCATTCACACTCAGTGTCTAGTTTAGCACTTGATTAGCGAAGGAGATTGAAAGTTGGAGAACTTGATGTGTTTTTTTTTTTTTTTAACAGATTCAATGATAAGTTAGTGCTCCCGTTTTCCTTTTCTTGGTGGTTTGTGTACTTTTTTGTCGTACTTAATAGTAAATCGAAATATATGAGTATCGAATGACCTGATATAATTGGTAAACAATAATTTTTCGTTGAAATGAATAGTGCACCACGGTGGCAAGTTCCGGTCTTAAAATGCATTCGATTTTCCAATTAGAGAAAAGCATTACACTCGGATGGGGTTGAGTACAGTGTTGACAAGATCTCTCATAAGCTAGATACAACTAATCTACTCTAGCATTGCATCCCCTGAAGTTTCGGCAGTAGCAGCTGCCGCCTTCTTCGAAGATTTTCCTTTATTCTTACCTGTCCATTGAGAAAAACAGCAAATTTGAGCACTCACAGAAAATGATGACAGCAAAACAAATATAACAACGTATGACGGGAAGAGACGCGAGAATATCAAAGTAACTTTTACCTTTGCGTTGTAGTTGTTTGAGCTTGACACTCTTCTTCTTCATGGGAAACTTTGAAGTTGTCTTGGTGTCTTTAGATTCTTCCCCTTCTACAAACAAAAGACCTTATGTCAGCTTCTTGATGCAATCTCCGTTGGATTTAACAGAAACAAGTTAACTAGCAATGCGTTGTTTAATTTGGTGTACAACGATTAAAGATTAATTAATCATGATTTCGAAGCTTAAGATCAAGATTAAAAATTCAACGGAGAGATTGAGAGGAGTTACCATCAGCATCGGCAGCAGCCATTTCCACATCTTGCATAGTTATCAGTCCCTTTTTCACAGCCTCGTTCTGGTCCTGAAATCAAAATTTTAAACTACACAAAAATTAACAAAATTATAATTTATAACAACACGTATAAACAGTAATTAAATTTGATTTTGAATCTTTGATGGAGTAATTAATTACGGGTCAAGGAATACAAATTAAAAGTTAATAATGAGAGGAAAACGTACTCGGCGCCATTTTTTCAAGAGCTTGCGCTTGCGCTTGCCGGAGATGGAGAGGGGTTGGGGCTTGTTGTGGAGCTTCCCAGTGGTTGCGTCGCCGTGAACCGCTCTCTTCTTCTCCGCATTCTGCGCTCGCTTCCTCTTCTGCACCTCATTAAACTTCGCCATCTCTCTTCTATCTCTCCTCTCTCTCTCTCTCACTAACCCTAGCCACCGCCAACTGCTTCAACTTCAATGAAAACATACTCGACTTGTTTTACGACTACGACGGCTGATACGGATCGGGTCTCCTTGGTAAGCCCAGCCCAATACAATATACGAAGAAGGAGACAGTGCTGGTTGACCCCAGGGCCCCCGCAAGTTCAAAATTTTGGTTGTTGCTAAGGGCACCCAAGTGTTTCTCAGCACCACATCCAACACTTCAAAGAGTTTCAAATAATTGTCTTGAAAAACAATAAGGCTTTTAGCCAAAATGATTATTGATATTTGCCTGACTACTCACTTTGGTTCATGATATTTGAAATCAATAGAAATGGTTTTTGATATTGTCTACTATCAATCATTTTGGTCATTCGATGAAAAATTATGTTAAATAAGGATTCAAATGACAAAATTACCCTCAATATGATAAACAATAGACCAAATAATTTTACAAAAATTGAGTGTATTTTTGTCATTTTATCTTTATTTTATGGAGATTTTTCATGGAATGACCAAAATGATTGATTATGGACAAACTCATGGACCAATTATATCAATTTCAAATCTCAGGAAACAAAGTGAAGAGTTATACAAATCTCACCATTTTGGCTAAAAAGCCAAACAAAAAAAAATATGGTCGTTGGAAATCCAACGGCTTTCCATTCCCCACGTGTCCAAGCCGTTGAAAAGCAATCAATGCTCTACTCCAGTGAGGCCCGGTGCTCTCCTGTAGTGAGGCCCACCGCTGCAGTTTTGTTGGCCCACTCTGTCTTCTTCACACGTGTTACACGTGCTTGACAAGAAAAAACGAAATAAAATTGTGGTTGACATCAGCCTAATGTTGGCACAAGCAGGGATTTGAGAAGAATATGCTTTTGCATGGATAATGGTTTGCCCACCACTTGTCCTTGCTTTTTTAGATTGCCAGAGAGAGTTTTATGAGCTGTATGGCAACACTGTTTCCTCCGCTCATACTTTCACCAACAGGTGGAGATGCTTTTAGAGATAATTTAGTAGGACAAGTTTTATATTACAAAAAATATGGACCTGCCTCTCTTACTTATATATTACAAGAATATATATATATATATATATATATATATGTATACTACGTCATATTTAGGTGAAGTATGATACATGAAGATTTGGATCACAACTCTAATGACTAATGTTTGGTTACACCACCTCCAGAAGTCCAGAAGTCCAGATGGCCTAAAGGCACTTGGCCTCAATTTCCTCAAGAGTAAGCCCCTTGGTCTCTGGGACGATGAAGAAAATGAAAAGTAGAGATGCCACTGCTATTACTCCAAATACATAAAACAATATTCCAGCTCCCAGCAATGCCTGTTTCAATCAACCCAATATTCATAAATTATCTCACTCACGATACATGAACGAACATTCCCAAACACAATTTAATCAAGAAAATCCTGAAAGAATTAACACGGCTGGTAATCTTAAGCACCTTTAGAGGAGAAAATGCAAATGTCACCAGTGCATTTGCAGCAAAATTCACAAGCACTGCTATACTGAGTCCTCGTCCCCTTAACCGTAAGGGGAATACTTCTGATATCATTAGCCAACCAATGGGACCGAAAGATATCTGCACAACAAGTCTCCATGGGTTAAACACCTCACCTATCTCAAAGGAACAAAATGGCGTAAAATTCAGCACGGTATACAACTTTCTGATTACCTGATAACATCCAACATACAACATCAGTGCAACTACAGCTGCAACCGGTGCATCATCAAAGAAAAGGTAATATGATCCCAAAAGGAATAATGAGATGACCTGTCATGTGAATAAAGTACATAAATTCCTCATGGTGCTCAACGTTTGAAGATTGTTGGTTCAAGTCTTATAATTCATATGAAAAACAAATAAAAATGAAAACATCAAACCAAATGGGGACTTACCATCCCCGTAACACCTCCAAGTAGTAGAGGTCTCCTCCCAAGTCTATCAACAACAAGAACAGCTGCTCCAGTCATTATTAACTACAATAAGAAAAGATCAATTCAGACATATCTTTTTTGGGAGTCAGTTTCTTCAATAGGAATGCAGACACTTCTGAGCAGGGAAATTAAGCAGAAAAGTATGGAATCTACATCTGAATAAATAGCATGGCATATCATTTAGAAAACATACCTTGAAAACACCAAGTAAAATTGAGACCCGTGTTGCATCAGATGCTTCAGAGAATCCTGCACTCTATTAAATTATATGGGTTATGATGAGAGACATTTTCCTAGGAAACCCTCGGAAGGGATAATCTTTCCAATCAATGTCCAATCAGTACCCTAGATCTAATAGGCAGGGTACCTGAAAAATCGATGCAGCATAGTACAGCACACTTGGTTGCCCTGTGATCTGTCATAGTATAGAAGAAGTAAGTATAAGCCAAGATTTCAACAGATTACAGCAGATCATATTCCTTGAAACTACCTGTTGGAACAAGACCAATCCAGCACCAATCACAAGGGCTTTCAAGCATTTTCCATGAAACATCTCCCCTAATGTGGCTTCTTTCTCGTCACCAACATAAGCAAGCTCAACCAGCATCTCATCTACTTGTGCAGGAGCTGAATCACCAATAGCACTACCCCTAAGCCGGCACAAGCAACTGATTGCAGTCAATTTTAACTCATCCATATTCCCTCTTCCCTGTATGGCACGTAGAAGGATCCATCTGGGTGATGCTGGTAGCCACCACATTCCGATACCCATAATTATTGCTAAAGGGGCAGTAATTCCATACATGTAGCGCCAACCAGCTACTGTGTCAACTAAAAGGCTACCAATTCCATAACCCGCCTGCATAAAATTCAAGGTGCTTATGATTTTCTGGCCTTACAAAAAATTAGTAACATAAAACTTTTGAAGAATAAGCTTACAAAAAAGAGGAGCAAACTTGAAAACAAGCTTTTAGTTGGCTTCAGTGCATGTCACGAACAAAAAAAAAAAATCATATACTCTCAGATGGAATGTAGAACTTACAACCATCCCAAGCACTATGAAGAACTCTTTGAGCGATATTAAGCGACCTCGTATTGCACTTGGAGCTGTCTCGGCAATATACATCGGAGCCGCATGCATTGCCTAAAGAGAACAAATTGAAAATTTATATATCTCAAGTTTCATAGAAGGAGCTAAGTATAGCTTTGCATTGAAAAAAGCATTCTATTCATTACCAGTCCAATTCCTATACCATATATGAAGCGTCCAATCACCATAACAGGCAAGTCGGGTGCTAATGCTGTTACTAGGCCTCCAAGAAGATACAATAAAGCAGCCAAAATCAACTCCCTCCTTCTTCCTTTATACAGATTAACCATTCAAACTTCATCAGTAGTGGAAGACATCATCGGTTTTACTTGTATAACTCAGAATGTATCAGGTAAAGTGAAAACCCCACCTAAGAAGTCAGCAACGTTAAAGGCCAGCAAAGATCCAATCAAGGCCCCATATAATGAGCCACTAGTCTGCAAATGAAACAGGTACCAATTAGATACATTAACCTGCTTTGAAGCCAAAGAAAGATGCACAAGAGAACTAAAAGGAAAAAACACTCGTAGAGATTTCAGTGACAGCAAGGAAGTTTGTTGTAAACTTACTATGAGACCAATTTCCACAGATGACAAGTTGTACCATGATACTCCGCTTAATGTGGCCGACTGCATTGGGTATGTTCTAAGAGAATCAGCAGTTACAAATAAAAATGAAGAACGTGCTATATGGGTAATAGCTCATGTATACCTCTATTGAGATTGTAGCACATGATGTTGCGCCAATATCATAGCCATATAGTAGTCCTCCAAAAGCTGGGAATAGAAATCTGACATCATTAAGGAGCAGTGTAAAGCCTGACTAATGTGGATTATCTGTAAAATGTTCAGTCTAAACAGAAGATTAGAGCAGATAAAACTGAAAAAAGAATACTCACGGTAGGATTGCAGCAATAAGAGAATAGTTTTCTGAATTGTGAGCCCCATCAAGAAGTGGCTCCTGTGCGTCGCCAATTTCACCTGAAGATTTCCCCACCTGAAAAATGGCAAACCATTAACAACTCCCAACAGAGAAGAGTTCTAAAACATGGATACGGATACGGTGACGACAGCCGATACATAAAATCTCTACAAACTAGGATATGGATACAACAACAACAACAACAACAACAAAGCCTTTTCCGACTAAGTAGGGTCTGCTATATGAATCCTAAAACATCATTGCGCTTGGTTCTGTGTCATATCTTACGTTAGATCCAACTACTCTAACTCTTTTCATAGAGTCTCTTCCAAAGTCCTCCTAGGTCTTCCTCTACATCTTCGGCCCTTAATCTCTGTCTCGTAGTCACAACAAACTAGGATATGGATACGACAATAAAAATAAATAATTTAAAACATTTTAACATGAAGACATCCAAATTCAAGTTCATTCAAAGTTATATTCCTTGTTTCAATTAGAGGCAAGCTCTTATGTGTTCATCAACTTTCAACTAAATCTTTGTTTCCTACTAATTTTTTCCTCAAATTTTTCATCTGAAGTGTAACGGTATCTTAAAAACCGAACACTTTTGTCCGGAGTATCCGACAAGTATTGCATCCGATACGGCACACGCGCCGCGCTCCATAGATTGAACGTTCGGTAGTATGTTCCATCAGCGCAAAGAAAAATGGAAATGAGAAAGTGCAAAAGAATAAAAATTGAGGGTAGAAAAATGAAACCTTTCCGAGAGAAGAGGGCGCGTGTTGCTCAGGATCGGACTCCATTGCTGCCTGCAGTTCACTGCACCAAGCAGCTCCCTAGAAATTATGTGATGAATCTGAGCAGCGCAACGGTGATTAACGACAAGTCTGTGAAACTGAATTGAACGGAGGAGAAGGGTAGTTAAGTAGGGCAAGTTATTGACAAAACCGAACTAGCCGAGTTGGGAGGTTGCTGTCCTCTCGAGTATTTACAATATTTGTAGTCGGGCGTATGAAAGAATCAGAAGTGAAGAGAAAGTTATCGAAGCTGGAACTGGGAAGGGAGACGAGGTGGGGTCGTAATGATAAAGTTCATAAGTTGTTTGTTAG